ATTACAAAAATGTGAGGCTGTTAAGTTCTGGAGTAAAAGTACAAGTATTTCAAAGTATAAATCTTTTACGTTATTTTTAATCAATAGTTGAAGAGAATATTAAAGAAGACGACTCTTCACTTAAGAACTTTTAAGCAAAGACGGAAAAAATTTATTGTTTCAAAATTTTACAACAAAAAAAGTAACAACAAAAATTTGTCTAAATTCTTATTTAAGTATGTAGTAAACTTTTTAACATTTAAAATAACACACAAAAAATAAAAATTATATTTGCCGTTTACATATTATATTCTTCAAAAAAAATTATTATTATTTGCTTTTTACTTTTTCAGGCACAAATAACTTAAAAATTCTGCTTTATATTTTAAAACACTGAAATAATTATTATTTGTGGTTTCAACAACGAAAAAATCAAAAAAAAATTATTTTTTGAAATTATTCTTTTGAGAAATAATAATTATATTTGCCTTTTACATATTTTATTCTTAAAAAAAATTATTATTATTTGCTTTTTACTTTTCCAGGCACAAAGAATTTGAAAATTCTGCTTTATATTTTAAAACTGAAAAACAATTATTACTCGACGTTTCGATAACGCTCCGGCTAGAAAAGTCCTTTGGTGGAAAACGCGATAGAGAACGTCCGCATTTTCGGTAGAAAGACCCAGTGAACAACAATTTGAACGCACTTGGTACCATCAACTGGCAATAGCAAGCCACAGATCCGTTTGGCTGAAGGAGGCTACTGGAGGCGGGCAAGAACGACACGCGTCTCTAATAGCCAATTAAGTAAATAATTATTCATGATAGTAGAGCAAACATTATGCATAAGTAAATCACAGACTCTTCCCTTTAAATGCTTTTATGATATAACAAAAATTATATTTATAGAAATGATTAATAATTATTTTTAAGAATTTTATTTTATTAACTCAATGAAAGTATGCATTTCTCAATTAATTATAATATATGTATTCACATATATTTATAGAATATATAGAGTCGGCAATTAATGTAAATCAAAGGCTAACCACCCTTTTTAACCCCAGCGGAATACGTCAATTTCAGAATATGCAATATAAAAAATTAAATCGCTTAACTTAAAAAAAAATCTACTATAATTACTTTATATAGAATATTTTCAATTGTTTTAAATAAAAAATAAATAAAAAAATAATTAAATAAACAAAATGCCAACTATATTTTGCGCTTACTTGTGTGTGGATGTGTGTGTGTGTGTGTGTTTTCATTTTAATAATTTTTCATTTTTCTGTTGCCTCTGAAACATTAAAATAATTGCGTTTTTTGTCTAGAAATAAACTATTTCTTTTCTGACAAATTCAAGGGGATTTTATTTTTTTATATTAATTTTTTATTTAAGTTTAGCTTTTTGAAATTAATTTTACTGTGTATTTAACTTTTTTTTTGTACGTGGTTACAAAATCAAAAAAAAAAACTCAATGGTTTTTTTTTTGTAATTTTACTGTAATTTTTTTGTTTTAATTTCAATTAACTTTTTTTTGTAAAATTATTTATGTTTTTATTCATAAAAATTCAAGGAAAATCAGGTTTTTTATTTCCTGTTTTAAATGTAAATTATTACATGTTTTAAATGATTTGCTTTAATAAAAACTAATAAAAATATATATTATTATAAATAGTATTCGATATAAAAATTTGCATACTGAATATATTATATAAATAACTTTTAATATAAAAAATTATGAAAATAATTTCATTAAATGCAATAGTAAAGTTAAAAAATTTTTATATGTTGTATGACAAAAATGAAAGTAAAATAATTTGAATTATTTTAATATTTAAGCTATATACAAAATGATTTTAAGGACTTGTAAAATATGATTAAAAATATTTTAATAGCATCATTAATATTTTTATTAATCATATTTCTTACACTCACCCTTACCTTCATCTTACTCTAACTTCTCATACTTCTTAAGTTAAATTTCGAACACTCAATATCTGAACTACGAAATAATAAAATCTTTCACTAGTTTAAGTATTTATTCCTTCACTTTTTATCTCTAAAGAAGTTCATTACTCTCGTCTTTACATATATCATTCTCCAACTTCTCTAGTTATATTATGATCATTGAAAAACTCCAAAAATTTGATACTCTATTACATTCTCAGTCCTGGAGACTCAAAATTTTAGTAGTAATTTAATTTAATTTAATTTAATGAAATTCTGCATTTCTTAAAATTGTATTTTTTTATATATCTATAGAAAATCTTCTTGTAAATATTTAATTCTTTATATTTCCAATGTTTTCACAAAAACAACTTTTATATATCTGTAGAAAATGGTGTTGCGGGTATTGTAGTTTTCAAGAATCTGTATGTCGAACTTAGCAAATCGCTCCGAGACGTAGTCCCAGTCGTTCTAACACTTTCTTGTAAATATTTTCAATGTTAAATATATAACTAGATTATATCTAGATTAGTAGAATAACGTGATCCCTAAATCATAGGCTTTTACTAAATTGTTAACAGAGCACTGTATTGTTCCGCTGATGTGATAGTAAAAAAAAAACGAGAACTTTTGTCTTCCGTAAACCTGGACAATAAGTAGTCTTACTGAAGTGTTAACATACAGTATTAACATACAGTCTGACAGTCGTAATTAACTCCACCTTGACTAAACAACCTATGCTTTACATTAAAAATGACTTCAAGTTCAATTAAAATCAATCAAATTTATTAAAAGCTTAACGGAGTTTAAAAAATTTAGTTAATTAATATTACAATTTGACAACATAAAGTACATTTATTACTTTGCAACAATTTTTTAAATTATTTAGAAAATATAATTATATAAAAAAATTATAAATTTAGTCCTCTTGCAGTTTTAATATTTAATGACATTTATATTTGCGAGTGCAAGCATACAATGAACGTGTGCGAGTTAGGCTAAGCTGCGTTCTAAATAAGGGAAATTCTAAGTTGTGCCGATAATGTAGTGATGAGTCGATACATGTTGATAAATGGCCAAATGTGTGCAGTGCAAAAAATCACCCATTTGGTTTAGCATCAACTTTGCCTAACTTGCACACGTCCAACATAACATTGTAAACAATAGAGCAATAACAACAACAACAATGGCTTTGAAAAAGTACCATCAATAAAAGCAAACATTAAAACAAGAAAAATTAAATGATGACACAATTAAAATTGTATAAAGTAGGGAATTTTCTTTTTAGGAAAAATTTAAATATTTAGGCCATGTGCGAGTTCGAGTAAATTGAGATAAAGTATATTGAAATTCCCTAAGGATGTCCTGCACTACACTTATGTAAATATTTATTTATTTATTTATTAAAAATCTTATAAAATTTTCACAATGGTAACACCTAATTTACCTAATTTTTTTTTAATTTACCCTACTCGAAATTCTGGTAACTACCAACATTCGCTGCCATACCGACATAATTTACTATTTCCCTCAATTTACCAACAATTTACTCGAACTCGCACACGACGTTAATATATTTTCATTATTAAAATTATACTATTGGATATACATAAAAATAAAAAGAATTTTAAGATTTTAAATTATTTACGGTAACAATTTTTATTTAAGAAATTTAGTTAATACGAAATTAAAAATTATTTAAATTTTGTTTTCGTATAAAATACATTACTTAAGGATTTCCCATAGGGCTTAAATCTATCAAACGTTGGAGCAGGATTTATGAAAATATGCCTACGTTAGTCATCTTCTTCTCTTTGACCATTCACCCATAAAACTTCAATACCTCCTTCAATGAATTCATTTAAGCTTTCCAGCTTTTATAGTTCATTTTTTTTAAATTAAATTTAATGTAATAAATTTATATTTCTTTTTATTAAACAAGTAATATAAATAAATAATTTTATTACAATTTAAATAGTGTTATTTTGTATCTTTAACTACAATTATGAAGAAGTTGTTTATTTATAATAAATTTGCAGTATATATTCGTGCTAACGAGTACACGGCGAAACAATAACAAATTTATGTGAAAGCACATGTGCTTGTAAACAAAATTTAAAACAAAAACAAAACCAAAAGCTAACAAGTTGCAATAGTAAAGCAAATGGCAATAGAAGAGCGAAAGTTGTTGTTGTTGGCGGCATATTGAAAAAAAAGAGAGCTAAAAATATCAATGTCAAACAACAGCAATAGCAACACAAACAACAACAACAACTACACTAACAATACCATTATAAGAACTGTTACACATTTGTAGAGTGCAATAACTGTTGCAATAAAAGGGCGGTTGCAAAGGGCGCATATTAAATGTTAACACATGCTTTTATTATTCACATGAATAGATTATAATACCGTTGCTTGCGGCTGCAAGCGAATTATTTTTTTTGTTTTTGGAATTCTGTTTTGGTATTTTTTGGGCATTGAACTTGACCAAAATTTTGTAGCAAATAACAACAACACATTAACAATAGCAGTAACAGTGGAAACAAAAACAAAACCAAACAAAAGAGCATTTAAACACACAACTAAGCACAACAACAAAATCGGCACATATAAATGAGAAAGAAAGGAACACAACAAAAAAATCAACAACAACAACAACAAAAACAAAAAAGAAAATATTGTAATAAAAACAAAATCTAAGCAAAAATTTTTATAAAAACAAAACAAAAACATTTATCAAAGCGCACGTGTGTACGCGCGTATATGAATATTAGATTTATGTGTGTGCGTTTGTTTTTGTATCAATTCAATTGTGCATATAAATACCATATTATTAAATCACTTTTTATTTTTTTTTATTTTTGTTCGTTTATTAATTGCAAAAATAATTAAAATTTTTATAACTGCAATTAAAAATATTATTAAAAAAAAACATATACAAAACAACAACAAAAATAAACAATACGGAAGTGCTGACTTCGCACATTAATGGCGAGAAAAAAATTTAATTTTATTTATAATTAAAAAAAATATATTATTTAAAATTATTAAAATTACTAACTCACCTTTTGTTGTTTAATTTATTTGGAATTTTATTTTTTTCTGAGAATTGTTTCCTCAGTGTTGAGCTCAAAATATTGTTATTGTTAATGTTTTTGTTTTTATAACAAGATAATATGTGAGGCGCTTACGCCTTTTTATATTAATTTTTAATATTTTGTGAATTTTATAAATTTTTTTAATCAAAAATTTATGTAGGCTTTTTTACACATATACAACACTTAAATGCCAATAAACCCGGAAATTTTGAATAACAGCGGATATTCTACTTCATTTCAATTAATAATTCTGTTGCACTGAAAAATTCAAGCAAACACAACAAAGTGTTTTTATTGTTTTAATTTAAAATTCAATTTAATTTAAAAAATTTTTATTTATAGCCAAAAGCAATTTTTTTTTTTTGTGTTTTATTTTTTGCTCACTTCAATCATTTATCTTAAATGCCTTAAAATATATTTTCAAAATAAATATTGTTTATTTACGTATTTTAAAATATAAAGAATATTTATTTTATTAATCACACGCGAGATTTTCTGCTTGTTTACATTTTCCGATGCACATCCACTCACTATGTACCGTTAATAACAACTGATATCAACGAAGGAAATAAATTGCAAACGCGAGTAAATGTGGTGAATAAGTGCAGTAAACGATATGAGAGCGAAGCGTGCTTAGAAGTTTGCCGTATGAATTTTGCGTAAGTAAACTTTTTCACCACGATTTTTGGAAGTCAACAGAATTTTATACTGTGAGCAAATATTTTGAATTTAAATTGTTTTTTTTTGTATTTCATAGATTTTATGCCGTTTTTTACGATTTTGTGAAATGCAAGGATAAAGTTTTTAAAACAATTTTTATTTTAATTGCACATATAAAAAACTAAACTTTGATAACTAATTATAGTTATCAAACAATAAACATTTATTTAACACATATAATAATATTTATTAATTTTATTTATATATATTAATGTTTAATACCATTCGTTTATATAAATAGCGGCTTTGGATAACTTCTCGCCTCTGCTTATGGTACTCTCTGTGATCTCACATTAATGACGCTATTAACTTTGAACGAATAAACGAAAAAACGTATTTGACGCAAAATCGTATTTGAAGCAAAATCGTATTTGACGCAAAATTGTATTTAATACAAAATCGTATTTGACGCAAGAGCTCGATTCATTGTATTAAGGTTCTTACGAATAAATCTATTTTTAAATCGATTTACTTATTAATACAAGAGGAGTTGTAGTCAAAGAACAATTATATTTGTATTGAATAAGTCGTTCTAATTTTAGCAGGATAGACCTACTGTCCGCCAAGAAAGTGTTCTGTTTTTAAAGGTTTTGAGTCCTTAAGCTTAGTTCAAGTCAAGCTCTTTAAAATTACGACCCATCTTGTGCCTAACTTATAAGGGACTCAATAGTAAAAACAAAAACCGAACAATTTACTCACCGTAGAAGATATCTTCAGTCACGTCGTACTTATCTACAGTCAATACGTGGTGCAAATTTGGGTGATATTAAAGAAGTCTTCCTTAATGTGGATAGTAGCAGGCCCTTTGTTCACTAGTGTAAACCATAGAACTGAGTCTCTTGCAAATCAACAAACCATATACAAATTCCCACCGCTTAAATAGATATCGATACTTTGTTGTGATAGGAGCAACTTTATCCTGTCCATCACATATTCTGGATTGCGTAACGCCTTACATTTATTGAATGATTTCACACCTTTGGGCAGAGGCACCTAACCTATAGAGGACTCGGACATTCTAGGTGAATATCCGTATATCATAGTCTTTTGGTCATTTCCATGGATCGTCAACATACGGTTTTCAAGTCCGAGGCATAAGTCTTGGGGATACAATTCGCTGTAAATACTATTAGTTCATTACACAGCAGCTGACAAATAACTATCCTGGAGTACCACGCGGAAGTTGTCGACTACTGGGGATTGAGGACGACAACGATTGCAATTTCCAAGTTAAATGAAATCAAACACGTTACGTACTCGTGTACTATCTGGTTATATTTGTCAGTAAATTTTTCGTGGTCATCTGTTCTTCAACAAGTAAATAGGATCCATTAATCCAAAAAGATCTATTTTTTCAATACTAACAAGATATATTAAGCGTACCTTAATCGTTAAAAATGTATGCCAAGTATCTAAGTACGAAAGGTATATATAAACATAAGTCAGTTCTTTGACGTTGTAAGAAGTTGCCGATTAGTTTTGGTTATTATATCGATTTTGAATGTTGATTTAATAAATAATCAACAGCGTAATTCTCAGAAATAGGCAAATACCATACAAGTCCTTTTATTAATGTAATATCCGATCGTAACCGCAATAAAAAACGTCTTTTACCATTGTTATGCTATATAATACTGACTTATTTATTCATATGAGAATTAGAATTATTTGAAATACTTCTTCTTAATTAAGTTTTTAACATTACTAATTAAAATCATAAATATATACAAAACAAACTTATCTTATAAAAAATAGGTGGTTAATATGTTTTAAATTTTTATATCAACAATTTAAACAAAATCAAAACTTGTAAATAAAAAAAATTAATTAGTTAAATAAATAATAGATAAAAATGGATGAATAAATAAAATTAATTTTGATTAGGTAGACATGTTTAGATATTTGACTTCATCCGATCCATTCTTAAACTCGTTTATTATAGTCATATATGGAATCAACTAAAATAAATATAAAAAAAATAAATAATACCTATAAAATTATAAGTATATATTAAAAATCGTACCGATAAATTGAAAATCTGGTATTTATTTTCTTGACGGGAAATAGACATTAGTCTTTCTTGGACATAACGCAACCACTCTTGTATTCCTTTAATTATTTCGGTCTTATGCGTTAAACATTGTGGATAAATGCATTCAAGGAGTTCACTATCAGATACCAATTTCGCAGATATAAATTTGACTGTAGTAAACAATATGAATGTATTTCTTGTACTCTCCGGTCTCTTAAGAGATCCAATATTGATTTTGTTTAGCATATCTAATAAATTATTTAACTGCAAAGTAAATAATATATATAAATATTTGAATTACTACAAAATAAAACAAAATAATACTAGCTAACCTTATTTAAACAAAAGAAATCCATTTTAGTTTGAGATATTTCAGCGATTATTTTTAATCCTAAACATATAGAAATCAGTTTCGGCGCAACGCCTTCCGTGTCAATCCTACGGCAAATCATGTGTAAATTTAAAATATACTCCGGATCCTTAGTTACCAAGCTGTCCCATACATGTTTGCAAAGTATATGAATCTATAAATAATAATAAATATAAGTTTTTATTGTAATGATATATAATGATTTCATATACTTCAATAGGATGTACAGTATTCACAACACGGAACGTCTGCAACAATAAATTATCCCGCCAATCCAGATTGTAGATAGTTTGTTTGTGAAAGTATACCATGCTTCCAACCACTAGCAAATCTTTTAATTCTTTAAAGGTATTTACTTCGTCTATCAATTTAAGAAAACCTTTGCAAATCTGGTAAGAAAATAAAGTTCTAAAATTTGTTAGCATTTTTTGATAATATTTTACTTACATCAACCGTTTCTATGTTTTTGTGTAGAAACGGACACATTTTGGATAAACAGGAATTATTAATAAAATTTATTACATCTTCAGTGTTGACACATTTCGCTATAAGCGGATTTTCTGATCTTTCTATTGGTTCCATTATATCCGGAATTCTAACATCACACATTCAACAAACGAAAACAATTCTAATTTGTTTATTGACAATCAGTGTTGGTAAACCTGCTTTAAAGGTTGCCAACGTTAAGATAATAAAAAGAAATATGTTTGACAGTTTCTCTAATTAATAGAAGCGTTTTCATTGGCTCGCAAGTGTGGCAAAAAATGCATGCTGGCCTATATTCACCAAGCGAAACATGGGCATCACTTTTGCAAGCTGTCTAGTATTATGTTTTAGCAATTAGCAAACCTTGCATATGTGCACATAAATCAAACAAATTACATTTTGTATAAAAATAAATAATTCATATAAAATTGAAAATTAAAATGAATGCAGAATTAAAAGAAATGGTAAGAATGTTGGGAATTTCAAAATAAAACAAATTTTTTTTACTCCTATTTTTTAAATTTATGAAATTTTTGAATTTTTGATTACATATGATTTTTGACTTATGAATACAGTATTCATTGAAATTTCCAATGAATGTTCACAATAGTCCGCTCTTAGATTGGTAACACTTTTTTCTTTACGGATCGAAGTGTATGACCAGTATACAACTCCTGGCCTAGATAGAGAAAATAGTATTTGTGTACATTTCGCCAGTATTGTCCAGTAACTTGCTGTTTTTTGCCATACTTGCGAACCACCGAAAACACCCATTATCACTATCATTAATAAAAATGAACATTGCATAAATGACATAGTTTGAATGTACTATTATACTGAGTGTACTCTGTCATTACTTAATACTTTTAATTTGTTTTGCTAATTACGATCTTAATATTTAATAACTAATTCAGTCCTAATATCTGTCAGATAACTATTAATTTTGCTTAAAATTTTTTGTTCAATTTCCGAACTAGTTTTGTCTTACTAGTTTTTTGGTACTAAAACAGATAATAATAAGATTATTTATATATTTGTAATTATTTAAATGAAAACAATAAAATTCCTCAAGATCTATGGAAAAGCGTAGAAATAAGAAAAAGTCTACAAAAATTTAGGTTGTGTTGGCAGCTCTAGAAATATTTACATTTAAAAATAAGTCAGCTGGGTGTATTGTTGTTATCTCTATTTTTAGTAATTAGCAAAAATTGAATGCATGAATTAATAACATATAAATGCCAAAAACAAAAATAAAGAAGATAATATAAATTGCCATCATTAAAAGAAGTGTCAAAGTTTATCAGTGCATATAGGAATACAAAAAAAAAAAGAAAAGTGAAATGTAAACAATTTGACAATGAACGCGTATTACTTATCAGTAAAACATATTAAGAAGAAAATATTTGACAAATCTTTTTACAAAACCTTAAAAATTTAATTATTTAGTAAGCATTTGCATTTCAATTAGAAGTGGACACTCAGTATCTCTTATAAATCACATTACATTATTTATTGTGATAGTCATTTTGCTAAAGCTTTGATTACAAAATGCAAACCACAATTCGCCGTTTTTTTACTAAAACAACAAAAACAACATTTAGAAGACAACAAATTGGAAGCTGCAATACAATACAAAAAAGTAATTTGCGTGAATTGGCAACTCCTGCAGTTTCGTTAAACTTCACGAGATCGGCAGTAAATTATTCAGCGGTAAGTCATTATTAATATTAAATATTGTATAGAATTATTATTAGTGTAATTTAAAATAGTAATATGAAAATAAAAGCAAAGTGATATATATCTAAATAAATAAAAAAAAAGTGGTTTTATATTAGTGTATTATTGATAGATCACGTTTTCACTTTTCTTTGTGAGTGCTTTAGCGGCATGCGTTTATTTTATTAATTTCACGGTCAATTTATTTGTTTACTTTGATTAGTTCTTGTATGCAGTGAGGTGACTTAAAAAAAAAATAAATCTTGTTTCAATTATTGTGTTTAATTATATTATGTAATAAAATGTGGTTTAATGTGACACATAAACTTACGAAGTTCCACAAAACGTGCCGATCTTTTTGTAAAAAAAATTCTCATCCCTAAACTTGCGGCAAATGAGTTATTAGATGACACCCAAAGAAAATTGTTAGTACCTTTAGTTAAAACATTAAAATTTATATATTTTTTGAGTTAAAACTAAAATTAATTTTAAAGTAAATTAAAAAAAAGAATAAGGAACTGGATTACTAGCTTAATATAGTTTGTTGCTCTATATTAATTACTTCTGTTAAGTGATCAAGTGAAATTAATTATAATTGAATTTCGTTAACCAAAAAAACAATTGTTAGTATATTTAGAAGATTAATATGTATTTATTTTTGAGTTAACACTAAAATTAATTTTAAAGTTAATTAAGAATAAGAAACTGGACTATTAGGTTAATATAGTTTATTGCTTTATATTAATTAACTTCTGTTAAGTGATTAAGTTATAATTAATTATAATTAAATTTCATCATACAAAGAAAATTGTTAGTACATTTAATTATAGGATTAATGTAGTTTGTTGCTTTATATTAATTTATTTCTGTCAAGTCCAAAGAAAATTGTTAGTACATTTAATTATAGGATTAACTATTGTTAAGTGATGAATAGTGCAGTTAAATAAAATTAATAATAATTAAATGTCTATAACTATAAATTATAATAAAAGCTTTCATTTTTTAAAATTATTAAATTAATGTTTTATTAAAAAATAAATAATATATATTGATCGACTCATATTAGACCTTTCTCAAACATGTGTTTATAAAAGATTTGTCTAATTTTTATATAGTACGTTATTGCTATTATCTACAATATTCAATCAGATTACCAATTAAAGTTCACTTATCTACTAAAATACAGATAACGTGATCATTGCGGGAGACCTATAAAATAACGTAAAAAATCTATTCTATAAATATTTTAGATAAGGTATTTCTAATCTCAGCTCTGCCAAACATGCGAATCATTAGACTGTCGTTAAGCAAAGTGTATCAAAAATATTTTATTCATTATATTTATATGGTACATGGATGTGCCTACATATATTTTTTGAAATATTTTTATGTTTATATCAACTATTATTTAATTTACAGTTTACTTTATAATTTGCAATATTTTTTTTTTTGCATATTAAATTGGAACTATTAGAGTTTCTTATTAGCACATCCATCAAAATAAAGAGTTATTGATTTACTTTATTTGCTATTGATTTATATTATTTGTCTTATTGGAAATAACAAATTCGTAAGTTTAGAAAATATTTTGGGTTAACTTTTTATTTAAATTGCCATTTTATGTTATTCAGTTTAATCCGACAAATTAAATTTATTTTTAACCACACTGCCATCCTAGCTCCTAACTATAATACGCTTCTTTTTTTTTCAAACCAATAAGCTTAAGCCAAGTAGCTATAGCTTCTATAAATTTTAGTTAGATGTAATTTATAATTATGTTATAACTTTGTTAATAAATAAATTTATTTTTATATATACTATTTCCGCTTACAATTTATTTTAAATCATAAGTTAGTAGCTTATTTTCAATTTTCAGCTTCAACTCTATATATAGAGTTCTGCAGAATTGCTTTTCCATTCTTCTTCTTATTTGGCACTGAAGTCCAGTATGAACCTTGGCCTCCAGTATGAACCTTACTTTTCCATCCGTATTATATATTTTTAATGCTATTAGACAGCATTTTATCATTATCTATTTTTTTTAAATATATTATTGTTTGCTTTTTTGGGAACCTTGGGTTTTATTTTAATATAGACAAATATATTGAATAAGTTGGGCATTGACTGCTTGCGTTAAGAATGAAGAACTTTACTAAATGTTATGAATTGAATTTAGTAGAGCATGTAATATTTTCAATGGATCTGTAAAGCAGATAACAGAAATTACACAACAAATACATGGGTTAGTTTATGGATGGTTAATGGTTGAGTAAGGGTGGAGGGAATTAGGGAGTGGGGTGGATTGGAAATGGGTGAGATTCTCCCTATTCTAGTCAATTATTTCTGTTCTTTTGTAATAAAATAAAAAGTATTTACGAAGAAGATATAAGCGAGAATCTTAGATAAGCATTCTGGGGATTGCTAGAGTCTGACAGGAGCGATCAAATCTAGGTCTCACAATCTATTTGTCTATATGTATGGGCGATCAACTCCTGTTCGTATTCAATATTAGTTACTTAATATGGTTAAAAACCATGTGAAATGTGAAACATACAAAACATTCTAACAGTCATTAAAGTCGGGTTATTTGATATATGGTCATTTTCTTTTAGCTACATTTATATTTATTTGTAATTTACCATTATGTTTCAATTTTATTTTTATTTTATTTCTTATATTTCCATTTTTTATAGTTCCATTTTATTTTTATAGTTAAATTAATGGTTATTTTTTATGTTTCCATTTTTTATATGTAAGTATATACCTTTTTGTTTTTGGCGTGTATCCGATGACTAGCCTTCATTACGTTCGGATATTGTCATTAGGCAATACACCGTGGGCATAGGTCGATAACCATGAAAATGATTATGGAACCATGACAGTGCCATAGCTCCAGTTAACAGATAACTAAAGGTTTAGACACTAAAATAATCAAATTCAGATCGACACAGGATAGTTTTCATTAAGATCCATAACTAGAGGTTTAGACACTAAAATAATCAAACTCAGATCGACACAGAATAGTTTTCATTAAGATCCATAACTAGAGGTTTAGACACTAAAATAATCAAACTCAGATCGACACAGAATAGTTTTCATTAAGATCCATTTACGCTCTTATCCAATCCTTATTTGAATTCCTATTGTAACTTCTGTTATATTTTTTGCTACATAAATCATACAATATTGAGTGCCCTTTTAGAAGTCGGTGGGAATTAAAGCTTTTGGTAACAAAACACTTTTAGAAAATTACTGACAACTTTTTCATCAAACTTAGTACACTTCTCACAAGTGAATTTAGAAGTGATAAGCTTTAATATAAAAATATGTTTAGTTTATATATTTAAAAAAAAATATATGTATATTTATATTTTTTCTTTTATGAATTGAAAATAATTTTTTAAACTTAAAAAAAAAAATTTTTTTATAAAGACATAAAAAACGGTAGTATTTTAACCTCACCGGTACATAATTAGCAATAGATGGTCTGTCTCACTACAAAATTTAAAGTTTCTTTTTTTTAAATTTTTAAAACCATCGTGTGCCTCTTATATATATACACATATATATATTAATTAAATATGTATATAATTCTTAAGCATATTCAACGAATATATATATATATATGTGATATTTTTTTCCCTTATCAATTAATTCTGAATTCCGGATTAAACTGGGTATTGATTATTTTGAAAAAGATAAGTTGGAATTAAAAAAGAATTTTAATTAAAAAAAATATATTAATATATAATAAATAATAAAATTTTTTTTATAAATTTAATATGTTAATAAAGACAGCGATGGAACCTCACCTGATTCTAATATTGGCGCAAGCCATAAGCAAATTTTAAAAAGTAATTATCAAAAAAAAAAAAGTAATAATTTGTTTAAAAAAAAATGGTATAAATTTCTTAAGTAAATTGAAAACTTTCTTAGCTTATCTTACACACTCAAAGCCAATTGTCGCTGTTCTCACTTTCGCACTCTATTATCTAATCAAAATACTGGAGATTTCTTAAAAATGCGGTATTTGAAAATTGAGGGCCTCAGTAAAGCCGGAACATTTCAATTGGCCGCTTCGTGTTCAAAGACTCTGCATTTCTTGACAACTTTTCCTTCTAACTGGAAGACTCTTCATAAGTGGATTTACAATTGATAAGCCTTAATATAAAAATAGAATAATAATTTTTTATTTTATGAATTGAGAATATTTTTTTTTGCAAGGAAAAAATAAAATCTTTTATAAAAACAAAAATAGTGAAAAATATTTTTCCACCAGCGACACACACCACTTTGGAGATCAATTATCGCGAATTATCTGTCGGCGCATTGAACTCTGCACTTCATTTCAAATATTTTTATTTTTTATTTACAATCTTAAGAAAAATTGTTAATAAATATTGGAAAACATAAAAATCGATCCGTCATTTTTATTGGGGCAGCGTTCATTACAAGTTCATAAATTATTTAATATTTATTGATAAAAATGGCTACAAAAGTATTAAAAAACTGCACTTATTTTGCAATTATGGAATAAATTTAAAAGAATTATTTTTTTTTTCATTTCAGAAAATGTCTGGTTCTGCTAAAATACTGCATTCAAAATTAAGCGAAATCGATGAAGAACTTTTGACCATCATACAGGAGGAGAAGAAAAGACAAACTACTGGTTTGGAATTGATTGCTAGCGAGAATTTCACTTCTTACTCTGTACTCGAATGTTTGAGTTCCTGCTTACATAATAAATATTCAGAAGGTCTACCCGGAAAGAGGTAAGCATAGAGATTTCCTATAGATAACTCTTAAATATAGATAACTCTCAATTAACATCTTATATATATTATTCTATTTTATATTAGATATTACGGTGGCAATGAGTTTATTGATCAAATAGAACGTCTCGCACAAAAACGTGCACTGGAAGCATTCAATTTAAATCCAGAAGAATGGGGTGTTAATGTACAACCTTATTCAGGGTCTCCAGCTAATTTTGCTGTTTACACCGCAGTATGTCAACCACATGATCGTATTATGGGTTTAGATTTACCAGATGGTGGTCATTTAACACACGGTTTCATGACGCCCAGTAAGAGAGTGTCTGCCACTTCAATTTATTTTGAGAGCATGCCATATAAAGTAGATCCTATAAGTGGTCTGATTGATTACGACACACTAGAAAATAATGCTAAGCTATTTAAACCAAAAGTCATTATTGCTGGTGTTTCTTGTTATTCGCGTGTTTTGGATTATGCACGATTCCGCAAGATTTGTGATGCCAACGATTCTTATCTATTCTCTGATATGGCTCATGTTGCTGGTCTAGTTGCAGCCGGTTTGATACCATCACCTTTCGAATATTCTGATATTGTTAGCACCACAACACATAAAACTTTGCGTGGTCCACGTGCAGGCGTTATTTTCTTCCGCAAAGGTGTACGCAAAGTTAAACCCAACGGCGATAAAATCATGTATGACCTAGAGGAACGCATTAACAACGCAGTATTCCCATCTCTACAAGGTTTGTTGATATTATTTCAGAGGAGTAGTAAGAGTAACTGGCGTTCATGACGATACATCTTTTCGGAACCCAAAAAAAAAAAATATATATTAGTTAAATATATAGAATAGACTATAAAATATATATATGTAAAGTATATATATGTAAAATATATATATATAAAATATTAAAGGATATAGAATGTGCTATGTATTTTACATAGTGTATTCACGGAGTAGCATATATGCTCTATATATATACGCCTTTCTGTTAATAATGACCAGAACAATAAATCTCTCTCCTTTCCTTATACGTCATTGTAATATACTTAACCTATTAAGCATGTCCCAAATTCAATATTTCTATTTCTTTACTTCTAGGAGGTCCACATAATAATACTATTGCTGGCATTGCTACTGCCTTCAAACAGGCCAAATCTCCTGAATTTGTTGAATACCAAAAGCAAGTTATTGTCAATTCACGTCGTCTCTGCGAGGCCTTACAAAAGCGTGGCTATACCATAGTCACCGGTGGCACTGATGTGCATTTAATCTTAATTGATTTACGTAATGTTGGTCTGACTGGTTCACGTGCTGAGCATGTGCTTGAAGAAGTCAATATTGCTTGTAATAAAAATACTGTGCCCGGTGATAAGTCTGCACTTAATCCATCTGGTATACGTTTGGGTACACCAGCACTGACAACTCGTGGTCTTATAGAAACAGATATTGATGTCGTTGCTGAATATATCGATGGTGCCTTAAAGATTTGTGCTGAAGCTGTTAAAATTTCTGGACCGAAATTGGCTGATTTTCATGATGCTGTTAAAAATAATTCCGATATTTCAAATAAAATTGCAGCATTGCGCAGCAAAGTTGAAAGCTTCAGCTCTAAATTTCCACTGCCTGGCATGGAAAATCTATAAAACATAATTATAACTTTGTATACGAAACGCTATACTTAGCTTAAATATTCTAATACTTTATTTTTGAAATAAATATTTCTATTTTTTAAATAACATCAGATTTTTAGAGTTTTAATCGCAAATGGAAGTGCTAAGCCACATTAACTGTATATATATCGAATTAATCATTTATTTTTATTAATATAGTTCTGAACGACAGTCGTATAAGTAACCCATACCTTTCAGATATTTATTTACTCTTGTTCTTGATATCAAATTAAAAAGAATTTATATGATTGAACTGAGTAAGATAATTGTATATTTACTAAAATCTGGAACATCTGTTCGTAGATCTCTTTATATGCTGAATAACTTGTCAAAACAACCCGGTATCGGGTTTCCACCTGACGCAGTACTCTTATACACCCAACTTCGCTGCGTGAGAGGCTTTTCTAGTTGCGTACATTAAAGCGTGGCTATCTGAAGTCAACCGATAAATTCACCATTGACGTTGATTATAAACTAGAGATTATAAAAGCGTCGAAATCTAGGTCCCAGAAGCACCCGTCTGTACACATGACCTTATGTCCTCCAAAGTCAGAAGAGCTAGTATTTAGCTTTGTGTATGTATAACTACAACAACAACATAAACAAGAGATTAGGACTTTTTATATTAGTAGTTTCTGAAAGGCAACGCTATACACTGGAATTTACCTGACATCTCTGGAAATAAAACACGTGTGCCACGTACAAGGTCTTTTCACAATGTGTGGACTAACTACAGCTCTGACTTATGGCTTTGCGCTGTGAATGTGGTAAGATTTCTTTATATGAAGGATGATAAGTGAGTTCAACATGCCTAGATTCATTTTTCTTTAACATCCTGTACACATATACTTCTATGGGGCGAGTCCAAAGATCAATTGGACTTAAGTTTATGTATGCGTTGAGAAAGAAAAATTAGATAGGCTATATCGTGAGGATAGAGTTAAGGTTGGGGCACACATTCGGAATTAACGCTTTTATCCGTGATAAGTAACTGCCATATGTCATGTGACTATATGCTGATCTCAATTAAGTTAGTTAGTACAGTTCTTGCGGCATAGAGAAGACGTCGTCCTTTCTGTGAGATATTAGACGAGGGCTTTAGAAAACTTAGTTACAGTGCAACTGTAAGTTTACAGTTATATTCGACTTAATTAATATTGGGTCCATTACAATAGGTGTCGATATATGTATCATAGGAAAAAAGAGATCGATGAGTGCAGCCTGGAGGTAGGGATCTACTAAACATGTTGACATACACCTAAACTCAAATTAGTTTATAACATCCTGTCAAATTTTTTCTCTTTTCTTGATCGTACACATGTACTTCCAACATCTGATTGATGGAAACAACCTTTACTCTCTGCGTGTTATAGAATTCTTTCATATCTTGGATTCCTAAAATAGTTACAAAAATAACGGTGGCATAATGTATTGTTATAGTTAAGACTTTTTAGTATATATGGTAATTTATATTTTGTATTTTTTATAATTTTTATTTTATAATTTTTTGATTTTGTTTATTGAAAAATAAATACAATACTTTTTAAAACTTTTTATTTTTATTTTAAGAAATTTATATTTATATTTGATCTTTTTGTAATTTACAATATTTTTTTTTTAACTTATTAGTTACATTAAAATAAATATAAAATAGGATTAATACTACCAATTAACTTTCTACTTATCCTAATACTTTAAAAGTTATCGTATATAAAAATTTACTAAAAAAATTTTTTCAAATCTATTGAAAATATATAATAGTTTATATTTTTTTATGTTTACGAGTTTGGTTGTAATTAACCTACATCAATACTATATTAGCTTAAAACTAAATTAAAATTATTCTATAACATATATTACACATAATCCATTTTGATGCATTCTTTAGTGGCTCTTGCATCGCGATGGAATCGTGAATTATGGGTTGAGAGTGACCATTTCGTTTTAAAGCTTTTATTGCAAATTGTGCACGTATGGTCTTTACTGGAAATATCTGTATGCCTCGACGCTATATGTCGACGTAGAGCATTTATAGATTGCAATTTCCGACTACAAAATTTGCAAGAAAGAGATTCCTCTGAAAAAAAAAAAATAAATAAATAAAAATACTGTTATTATTATTTTTTAAATAAAATAGTTGAAGTTGAAACCTATTTAAATTTAATAAATAATATATAAAATAGTTGGTAATTTTTTTTTGTACATACATTTTTATTGGACAATACGAATTATTATAATTTTTTTAAATTACATTTACATACATAAATAGCTTAAAAATTAATTCACTGTAGAATATAAAATATTTTCAATATTTGTTTTATCAATACTTTACTTATACATCTTTCATATTATATGTATATATTTATATATATACATAGTTAAATAAACATAATTGTATATATATATATATAAATATACAAATAAATTATACATACATTTGTGTATGTGTATAAATATAATATTATTACTAATAAATTTTCTTATATATTATACAATATATATATATTATTTATGTATACAAGGAGTGAAATATCTTTTAAAAGGATATTGATGAGACCAGTCTATTCTATCTGATAAAGAAAACTGTCCGTTTCAGAAAAGTACTTTGATTGAACAATAAAAACAGGTTATTAGCAACATTGCATAGATGGAGAGATATTAATTTATGAGAACGTCCGTTTAAATATCACTTAGGCGCTACTGGCCTATGTAGTGTGTTCGGGGGCTGTCAGATAAACTTTGATTTACCACTCAGCTCTATCATAAAACATTAATAATAAATAGATATATGTATACACGAATACACATATCCTTCGATTAATTTCGCCTCTCCAGCCCTGACTACGTGACTGCTTTCAATGAATTAGATAAATTACATAATATAATATATAATATATAATATATATATATTATAATATATATAATATATATATATATATATATATATATATATTATATATATATTATATAATTATATATATAATATAGTATTATATGTATACATATATTACATATAATATATATTTACATATATATAATATATACATATATATATATATACATATATATAATATATACATATAATATAATGTATACATATTATTAATATATACATATATAATATATATACATATATATAATTATATACAGTTATATATATATTATGTACATGATATAATATATACATATATATAATATATACATATATTATATACATATATTATATTTAATTTATTTCTTTATTCAATAAATATATTATTTTTATATTTGAATTTGTTTTACAAACATTTATATATATACATATATATAACATCGTTTGTTCGTTTGTTTAATATTAAATATTAAACCTAAATTATTTTTAAAAATACATCAATAATAGCTACAGCGTTTGATCTTATCAATAGTAAATACTTCTTTTAATTTTTTCATACATATGTATTTAAAAATACAAAATTTAAAAAATAACACAATTTATATACAAATAAATAACTCAAAATATTTTTCTATTTTAATTTAAAAAGAATTATAAATATATACAGTTAATAACATAAAGTATGCTTAAACTTTAATAATTTTAGACTTAGATTAATCTACTATAGATAGCAAATTATACAGTAGACAGGTTTTAGAAAGATGCAGATGTAGATGCAGTTTCTTTCACGATCTTGATTGTATGATAACATTTTTTTGAACTATTTATATATTTTTTGTTCTAAATTTAAAATATTTGTTGAAAAATGTTTAATTAAAAAAAAATTTTTTTTAAAACTTTCTTCGAATCAAACTTCGTAAACACATTAAACTCAATATGCGCTAAAAATTTCTATAATTTTTTATTTACCATATTTCATGCCGAACTTTAAACATTAGAATATGTTTTTAAATTAAAAAATCTAAATCTGAGTGAGTTGTGTAGAAGTTGATATTGAAAATTCATTAGTTTAAAAACCAGACTATTTTTAATTATAAAAAAAAATTATAACTAAACTTTAATTAACAAAGTTTCAGTTAATCTGTATATTTTTATATAGATTATTTAAATTATTCTAACTTTAAACAAATAAGTTTTAAACAAATAAGTTAATGTACTTTTTAGAATAGTTTCTTTTCATAAAAGGAATACCTCTTCAATTAATTTCTAACAGGAATTGCATATATTTTAAAAATTATTGAAATAATAAAAATTCAAATAAATCATAAAACTTTTAATTAAAAATCTTTGAACCGCAAAAACTAAAATTTATATAAAATAAATATTTTATAACTAATAAATTTTATAGTACATTTACATTATGTGAAACAAATGAATAATTATAATATAACGTTTGATTTTACGAATTGCTTTATAATAATACAAAACTATATACTTTTGTATATAGTTATATGCAGAGAAGTATATAAAATACATATTTTATATATAACAAACTAAATAAATCTAAATCATATATTTTATAATAAATCTAAAAATATAATGTTAATTATAATGTATCCAAAACAATATTGTTATAATATATACGCTTTTATTTGCTTAAAAATATGGAGAAATATTTAATATAATAAATGAAATAATTTTAATAATTAAAGTTTTAAAATTAATAATGAAAAAAAATAATTTTAATAATAATCATTTTAAACATATTTAATGAGTTTTTAAAATAATCATAACTTTTATAAATTTATTAATTTTGAAAGTAAAAAAAAATCATGAAATTAACAAATTAATTTTAAATTAAATTAAATATATTAGCACAAAAAAAATAGGTAAAATAATATTTAGGCCGTGTGCGAGTTCGAGTAAATTGAGGGAAATAATAAATTATGTAGTATAGCAGCTAATGTCGGTATTTACCAAAATTTCAAATAGGGTTAGATAAAATTAGATAAAAATTCAGTAAATTACGTATTACCATTGTGAAAATTTTATAAGATGTTTAATAAATAAATTTGAAAACTTTTAATCAAAAATAATAAATAAGTGCATTAAATAAATAAATAAATAAATAAATAAATATATACATAAGTGCAGTGCAAAAAATCTCTAGAACTCGCACACGGCCTTATTATGAAAAAAGCAAATATATATAAGTGTAATTAATTAATTTTAAAATGAATCATTATTTTTATAAATTTCAAAATAATTCAAAAATATTATAATACATAAAATAAGTTATATAAGTTTTTAATGATAAATTTAATTATTAAAATTTTTGGTTTTCAATCTTAATTTAATATGTGGCAATAGCACTTAATATATTTATATGAATATATCTTATGGAGATAACTAACTTTTAAGTACAAAACTGTTTATTATTTTTGATTGTATATATGACGTAAAGCAAGTTAATTATTATAAACTAATATAAGCACATTCTCTGAGTTATATATATATAATTAAAATTGTTTTGTACATAAAATAATTAATTCAATTCACACATTTAAATCACATAAAGTAAGTGTACTATAATAATACTTGAATAATAATTAAATATTAAGTTTATTTAAAATGTGCACTATTTCCAATTAAATATAATTATTATTGTATTAAATTCTTTTATAAATTTGATGGAATTTATTGAATATTTATGTATTCTGATGCAATAAAATTTAATTCAACAATAATAATATTATGGAGAAATGTGGAGAAATATTAATATCATGCAAAATAAACCTTTTAATACTTATATACTCGTTAATGTTGGTATTAATGTTATTAAATTTGTTCTAGTTAAAGCTAAAAATATTTAATTAATATTATAAAAAAATTAATTTTAATATTATATTATCAAATTTTATTAATATTATTAAAAAATTCTTTTTTTAAATAGTCTTTATTAATATTATTAAAAAATTAATTTTATTAATGCTATTAAAAAATTAATTTTATCAATATTATTAAAAAAATCAACTTTCAAGAAATGTTTTAGTGTTATAAAAAAATTTTGAATTTTTATTTTTTTTGTAAAATTTATACAAATACTTTATTATTATAATTATTAAGTATACTTTATTATTATAATTAATTTTTTAAAATGATCACTAATATACAATATATTTCGAGTTTGAATAAATTTCATAAACTTCTCTTAAGCAATCTAATATATATAAAATTTAAAATAAATATTATTTTATACAACTATAGTACACAACATAAATTAATTTAAATTTTTCAATGTACATAAATTAGACTTAATAATAATTATAGATTGATATTTAATATAAATGAATTTTATATAATAATAAAATAAATATATGTCATGTTCCAAATTTATTTTTAATTTTTTATTAAAATATGTTATTTGTTAGAAACTAGTATTTTACAAGTTATTTATTTAACAAAAATAGAACTATATTACTATAAATTACTTCAACGTTCAATTCAATTTCAATTTTATGTTTAAAAATTAAAAAGACTTTCATTATTTAAATACACATATATAAATAAATATTCAAAACTAAATAAAACTAAACTAAAATAAAAATTTAATTTTTTATTTTGTTGTATTTTTAATTTATTAGACTTTTTTTAAAAATATATTTTAATTATTGATAGCGACCCAAATTATTGTTTTATTTAATATTATAAAGTTTTACTTTTTTTATATTTTGCTTTTTTTAATTTTTTTTTTATTTTGTCTTTTTTAATCATTAACTACTATTGTTATTTAATTTTACTTTTTGTTTGTTTTTTATTTTATTTTTCTTTATTCTATTTTTATTATTTTAATTTTTAATTTATTTTATTTACATTATAATAATTATTAAAATTATTTTTTCTTTATATTTTACTTTTTAATTTTTTTTAATTTAATTATATTTTTATGATTCACATTTTATAAATATTTGTTATTTACTTTTTAATAGATATCAAAATTAGAATTTTTTTTTATTTTTAATTTTATTTTAAATTTTTTTATTTTATTTTTTTTAATGTAATAGATATCAAAATAATTTTTTCAAATTTGATTTTTGTTTGTTTTATTTTTTTTATTTTATTAATTTTTTTTTTATTTTAATTTTATTTCTATTTTAGTTTTGTTTATATTTATTTAATTTAAATTTTTTATTATATTAATTTATTTTATTTGAATGTTTCTTTTTTTATTAAATTGGGTTTTTGTTCGAAATTTTATTTACATTTTAATAATTATAAAATTTAATTATAAAATGTAGAAAATGATCTACATTTTCTGTCTAAATTTATTACTTAAATTTATATTCTAATAATAGTAAGAATATGTTCTTAAACTTGCTTAAGCAAATAATAGTAAAAGTTATACCAAATTCTAGTGTTTGTTTTCTTATTTTATTAAATAATACTAGTTGCCAGGACTGCTGTTCAGCATTATTTTTTTAAATTAATAAATTAAAATAAAAGAACATATATTTTATCTTAATAATTTTACTTTTAAAAAAACTGGACGTTTGCAAATTATTTTTTTTGTTTTATTTTTCAAAGCAATTAATTGCTTTATTAAAGTTTATATGACAATACTTGTTATTAATTAAGAACTTAATGCCCTGTAAGTTTTCATGCACTATATTTACTCTTCTACATCTCTTGCTCTTTAAATCTATGTGCTTTTTTGTTGTTCATTAAATAAAATCAATTCTTTGATACGTCAAAATTAATTTTCAAAGTACATTAATCATTGCGACTACTCTGCATTATATCCTGAGCAACAGCTCGTCGCAAATGAAAAATTGTCAATCAGTTCTCCGTCTTCACTGCGATTTTCTGCTCATGTGAGATACGTATATGCTCACGTAGACTGTATTTATTCTTAAAATTTTTATTGCATAGTTCACATTGACGCGGAGGCTGTGGTGTATGTTGTGTACGAATATGTCTCCAAAGATTTACCGTAGTTATAACCATTTTGCAAAACTGACATTCTGTCCACTTATTATTTGGCAAATCTAAAAATATATAAAAAGTACAATATAGTCAAACGTTTTGATACTGCATGCTTATAACAAACACAAAAAAAAAGAAGCAAAACAGTAACTAATTGCATTTAGTAGATGAACTAATATATTTAAGCGCTGAATGGACTACACCGTATAGCTACCTAAGCTAGAATTATATTGCTAACTTTATAAACTACAAATCAGAAACTAATATGATATTCTTAATTAAATAATTTTGCCAAATATATACTACAAATTGCTCTAAAATAAACTATATTATGAATTAAAATTAATTTGCTGATATATGAGGAGTTTAAGTGCTTACATTAAGTACTGAAAAAACTGTATTTAAGTACTTTAACAACAAAACTACAATATAAAAACTAAATATACAACACATATCATTTAATATTTAATGTATTTGTTGTTTAAAGCTTTTTTTATAAACTGTTTTTTAGTGTTTTATTCCTCAAAAATTTTATATAGTTATTATTTTTATAAATCCTTGCCGAAGGTTTAAGGCTTCTTTGGCTTCTTACTTCATAAACAACAAATTCATTATCTTTTAAAATTCAACAGAAAGCAATAAAATACAAATTATATTATTTCAAAAATATAAACACTTATTATATTAACAATTGGCTCCTTACTATATTTTTAAAATTTTTTATAATACTTTTTTAAGTATTCTATATATATATAAAATTAAATACATATATAAAAAATTTATTTTTTAATTGCTTAATTAATGAAATTAATGTATTATATACAATCATTTTACTATCTTGTTGGAGAACCATAATCTTAATAATAAAAATATAATAAGTTTAACAGAAACAAAACATACATTGAAACCTTTGGAGACATATTCATTGAATACACAACTTTATTATTGTTTATATTGTTTTAAACATATATAAACCTCTACCTTATTTAAAAAGTTATCAAAATTATTATAATTAAATTCTAATCATTATGTTAAAAACTTAATTAATGCCCATTTTTATTAAAGAAACATTTAAACACAAAACATATGTACATAATTTATCATAAACAATATAAATTATTTAAATAATGCAAAAATATACCTGGTTGGGTATTATTTTTTCCAATCGATTTTAGTGTCGTCACAATGGTGCCTTCTTCTAGAGTCTGCTGCGTTGTGGAAGTAGTTGTACAAGTCGAATTAAGTAAACGACCTAAAATACAATAATAAAATTAATATTTTATATTAAATCAAAGTAATATAGTAATAAGTAATAATTAGTTAAGAATATCATTAACTTAGAAATCATTGAGAATTCATTCTTTTTTCTTTATAATGAATAACATTATATGTTTTTTGTAAACCGGAAGGAACATGAATGGATTACAAGAGGAATAGGTTAAAGATAAGAGTAGGATTGTAGGAGTGAAGAGTGAAGGTTTGGATAGGGACTAACTAATAATAACCAGAATCGAGATGCAATAAATACTTTAATGAACAGAAGTCCTTAACCAATAGAGCTTAAATAAGTGTGTGCTTTTGGATATGAAAACAGATAGATGAGAACATAAAATGTAAAACAGTAGAACTGCCGTTGTTGTTAGTGTAGCTAAACATCAAATTAAAAGCAAGTACAAAAAAGGTTGTTGCAGCACTCTATTATAGGGTAGAAGAGTGAAATTGATATGGTCCAAGATAGGAATACATAGACTTCTCAAGTTTCCTTCTATTTGAATGGAAGAGTCAAGCTGTCTCAAAGCGTGACGTCATTCGTATCCAAACGGACGATAGAAGCACCTGATGTGATGAGGAAGAGTCTATGGAACATCTGAACACCAACTGTGATGTACTAGGCCACAGAAAGCAGAAAATTTTAGGTGCATACCAACTATAGGATGAAGGACCCCTCCGAAGGACCTAGTTCATTTTTCCGCGAGATAATAAATCTCTAAATACAAAGGGGTGCGCAATAGATTAAGCTGTTCGCAGTGTATAAAAGCCTTAGCCTAATCCATAAACCATTACCTATTTCAACATTAACATCATAACTTACCCATTTCAATACTTATTTCGGTGTTATCGGCATCAGCGTGATGAAATTTATCTTCAATTTCTGACTCAGTTAGTATTTCATATTCTGACGTGTATTGCGTTACATTTTGTGTAACCGTTGTTGTATCCTGTGTGGTTACCTGCGTATCAGACAACTGTTGGCTGTCATCCATGTCATTCACATGAATATATTCCGGCATGTCTAGTTTAACATTATTGCGTATGAATGCCATTTCAGTAGCTTAATATAACAAAATAATAATTTAATAAAAACAAAATGGAAATCATAATACAAAACTGTATACAAATATACAACTCACAATCACTGATGCGACATTTAACAACGCTAGGTTCCTCCTTAACAAAATCTACAGTTTCGGTGGTATATATATTATCATCATCATCAGAAAACGTTATTTTACGCTTTTTAATTGAATTTGCTGGCAGGGTGATTGTATTTTGGGCAATATGAGTTTGTTGTAAATGCTGTTGTTGTTGTTGTTGCAGTTGATGTGTGGTCTGTGCCTGAGGAACAGTTGGTTGTGGCGATTGAACTTGTATTTGTTGAACTTGAGTTTGTACATCATGATGCTGTGGCGATGTCTGTTGTTGTGTTTGTAACTGATGTCCTATTATAGAAGTTGCTGGCAAGTCGATAGTTTGCGTTGCCGTACCAGTTTCAGTGATTGGTCTAATCGTGGTACTTGGCATATTTTTTATTAGTTTCTGTTCTTCCATTGGTGGTGGAGCCTTTGGTTTTTCTTTTTCTTCAGTTGTTAAACCTTGTACGGAAAGTAATTCAGCTGTTTGTAAAAATGATTGTAGCGCCTCTTGTTGTACATTAACTTCACCCTTTCGTAGTAAAAGAAAAAAAATTATTTGTTTATACAAATTTAGAGCGCATGTAAATTAATTAGATGCGCACTTACCTGATACATAAATTCTATTATAGAATTTAAATCTTCAAATTTAATGAATTTAAATATGATAACTGGATGCGGATGGGGATTCTCCTTAAAAATCTCTTTAAAGTAACTGCTGCATGATGACAATACAACCTTGTGCGCTTTAATTTTTCGTCCATCGCAGCAGAGGCTGACATCCACAAAATCATCATTGGTGCGATGATTATCCAAAGCATAAGTTAAATGACGAAAATAATTGTTCCAACGTAATGAATATTGCTGAGTTGCAGCCATTTTAGTACAGTGCGTTTATTAATTCAATTAATATAAGCACTTCAGATGCAATACACCAAGCACACAATGGTATTAGATCAATTGTAAATAACAGTTAATAGTAAACTCAATATACACACTAACACCGTTTAGATCTCAATTAGTTTAAAAATTTACTTCCAAAAAACGCTAATACAAAGTTATTTTTGTTTATATTTTAATGGAAAGTAGCAGCAGTTCAGGAAATTTCCTACGAAAATTTTTTTATGTACGCGTTTGACTGATGTCAAAACAAGGTTGCCAGATCTTATCTATGGAAAGCGTAGCATTCGTTAGAGAAACACAATTGTGTGTTACTGTGTATTCAGTTTCAATGAATTGAACCATAATTATGGCGTATTTAACATATTAGAAATATATTTATATGTATAAATACATAAGTAAGCAATTAGTAACTGTAGTTTTTCACACTTGTAAAAAGTATTAGTTATAGTAGTTATTATTTTCTTAGGGCCATGTTATGCAGAGTGTCTCGGACACGGCATGAGTACAATTGTTGTTGTTTTCAATGCAAATTTTAAATTTGAGAATGAGAAAAAATACAATATGGCCGTTCAAACTCCGGCATGAGAGCCGGCGTATTTGTGCCCCGGCACTAAGGCAAAACAGTGTTGTTTAGTAATAAATTTCAAAATGTGCGCCTTTTAGGAGCAAACTACTACAATTCTAGTACGTTTTGGACAAAAAATAGCAGTAAGCAACACAGCATTTTTTTTATAAATCGCTAATAATATAATTATTACATTTTCCGATTTTAAAGAAACGCGTAAGTACTGTTAACAATTATTATAAGATAATATAATAATAAATTAACATTATTACAGTCTCTATGTGTTTTTTCAAGCGAGTTATTTTTGGTGGCAAATTGAAAGTGAGCATATCTAAATTTCCTTTTAAATTTAGGCACAACCAAGAAGTAGTAAAAATACAAAATTGGCAATACTGATGTGACACTCTGCATAACATGAATTTTCGGCATAGCCTGAAAGAGCGTAATTTGCCGTGCCCGAGACACTCTGCATAACATGGCCCTTAAAGATTTTAAATTCAAACAATATATGTTATAATGACAAGTTAACTATATTTGTGTAAAAATCTTTTATTGGATACACACGAGAGCTTTGTAAGTTTAGCTGTGAAAAATTTTCAGTTTGCATTGAAAGCAACAACAATTTACAGTTAAAATTACAAACAAAACTCTTGTGTGAAACATTTTTCACAGGTTTTTTCGACTAATAGAATACAAATTTTATTACTCTTGTTCTTATACTATTTGACTTGCAAATATATAGTATTGTATTGTAAATATATTTGCAAGTCAATACATTTATCAATATCATTTATATTATAAAATTTTTTAAATAATCACGTATATAAAAACATTTTAGAAAAATGTCCTTTTTTATGTGTACAGACTTATTTGGCTATGGCACTTGCAATATTTTACAAATATCAAAGTTTTATACAAATGCGTTAAGAAAAACATGTCATTATAAAATGCAATATTTTTTTAAGCAAAAAATTTAAGTTTGAATCGTTCCGAATTCACTTTTTTTAATATTATTTGTATTTTTATACAGATTCATAGACACTTTAAAAAACATAAATAATATTAAATTAATTTAAAACATATAAAAATAGTTAATTAATTACCCAAAATGCATTAGAATTCAAAAAAATATTTGTATTACAAGTTTTTAGTAAATTAATAACGTCAAAATAAAAACTTAATATATAATATTATTTATTATAAAATTATGACTCTAACGCTCCGATGAAGAAGTTAAAAACTTCAAGGCATCATCAATAAATTCGAATAGAATTACACTATATAATATATATTAAAATAAAAACTATAAAATAACATATGCTGTAACTTCAAAAAACCTTTTAAAAAAAATCTGCATTGTACCTATTAAATGTATTCATAATAAAAAAATAATAATAATAACAATTACTATTTTATTAATAATATAAATATGGAATTTAAATATCATAAAACGATATTACTATACAAAAAAATTAATACAAAAATAATAAATACATAAAATCATATATATAAGCAATTAATTTAATAAAATTAAATTATTTAAACAAAAAATTGTAGTGTGTTTTAGTTTTGGATAACAACACAATTCTGTGTAATCTCTGTCAGATAATAATTGTTGCCACCAACGCCATTTTGTCAACTTTGACTTAAGAATTCATTTTTAGTAATGTCTTTCAAACTGTAAATAAATTCAATATTTTTATTAAGTACATTAATTTGAAAAGTAATTAAATTTATTAAATTTCATACTATTGCACTATATAATTTTTCGTATATATTTTACAATAAGCTTATATATTATTTTTTATTATATCAATTTGATTTTTAACTTTACAATACTTATTATTTTCTCAAAGTAAATTCTGACATTTTCTTGTATAATTTTAAAACAAGAAAATTGTTAATAATGAATTTGTACATAATTTAAATAGATTAGATATATTTTATACATACTATAAATCTGTAGGCTTTTTGAATTTTACTAAATTTTAATTATTTCGTGTTTGTAGACGTTAGTGAACAGAACACATGGAAAATAAATAAATACTCTGTGATGTAGATATTCTGTGTATATTTAGCTAATAAACACAAAATATACTCTTTAATTTTTATATTACAAATATCATGCAGCAATTTTCTGTTTGAGATGAAGGCAGAATAAAATCAAAACACACAATTAAATATTGCGTTCAAGTACATTTTATTAAAATCAATTTAAAGAAGAAGTTTATTATTAACGTGATACTTTTATTATACATATTTACTTCATGTAGTATCTAGTATATATAAAACGAATAATAAAACGTGCTATTAATAGTATGGATATAAACTTAACAAAGTATTGAAGACCTTCCAAAAATTTAAAACGTCGAATAGCTCTTTTGGAACTTATAGGTTTCTCCAGAAGTAAAAACTCCTTTGCACCACGAAGACCACTAGATAGAAATTCTTTCTGATCAGTATCGGCATACTGCATAAATCCAAATATATCTCTAAAATACAATACAAATAAAAATATTATTGTAGTATATAAATTATAAATAATTATCAAGTTTTTTTGATAATTGTTTTTGATTTTGCATTAAAAGCTTTCAAACTTTATGCTGTCAGTGGAAAAATGACAGCTTCTGACATTTGTAGTTGAACTGTCAAAAAATTTTAAAAAATATTCAAGAAATAATACGCGGTGAAGACTATAACTCTTATTTGATAAATAAAGATTTAAAATAAAGTCAGCAACTAGTTTTTCAGGCCCTTGAAAGTTCATTTTACAGTCATAACTTATGTCTTAAGACTTACTTAAGCTATCAACTTCGCTGGCTTATATTGAATTCACACGAGAGTTCTGTTTGTAATTGTAGCTGTCAATTGTTGTAGCTTTCAATGCAAAATGAAAATATTTGACAGCTAAAATTACAAACAAAGCTTTAACTTAACTGTTTTGACTTTGATATATCATAGAAGTTTTTACTAACCTTTCAGCATCCGAGACATTTGCATCTAATTCAATTAAGTTTTTATTTTTAAACACCCATGAGGTAGTGGCAAAATAATGTAAAGCCAAATTCGCCATATAAATACGACGTTGTACTTTAAGAAGGCTGAAAATTCAGAAATATATATACAATTAATTCAGAAAACAGATCAAGAGAAAAAGAAAGAAAGGAACTCACAAGGGCTTTTGGTTTAAGAAACGTAAAGCTGAGTCCACCAATACTGCCATAAATACATGCATTGTTATGAACTACAAAATTATATATTAATCATAGAAAGTAAAAAAAAAAAATAAATTTAAAGACATACCCGTATAAAATTCCAAGCAGGACAACGTGTTATGCTACCACCTGGTACCCACAATGTTTTATCAAATGGATTTTTTTTCACAATCTCTTTGCCATATTCAATAATTTGACCAGTAGTTATGGGACAAACTGAAGCCGTGGCACAATTAATCACTTTCAAATCATTATCTTCTCTATTTATACTTAATATATACATATATAAAAATTGTGGATATATAAAATTATATATAAAAATATTATGATTTACTCATGCGGTTCCATGGCCCTATCATACGCAGCCATCAAAAGTGCACGTACTGCAATATCTACAGGTACAAAATCAGAAACAATATCTGGATCACCATACATTGTACGCATTATGCCGGTACCACAGGCGACTAGCAGTCCAATAGGTCCATTAAAATTATCCACCCAACCAGGAAAAGGTTCAATTAGCGATGATATAACTAAGAAAATATTTTTAATAGAAGCCAAATTATATATATAAATTGTGATATATACCAATTGAAGGTCTAAATATTACTAAGGGTAATTTATTTTTATAATCATTAATTATTTGTTCAGACAATCCTTTTGTGAATGTGTATGTATTTGGTTGATTATTACTATATCTATAACAAAAAATAATTGTTTAAAATGTTGTATACATATATACACAAATTCATTATAATATATAGTTACTTCAAATTTAAAATATTCAACGTTTCAGTATTATATGTTTCTGCTAGTTTTATAGTAGTGCGCCAATCTGCGAAAGCTGGATAAACCTAAGTAAGAGAAAAATATATACATAAGTTATATACTTCACATAGAGGTTAAACTCTGTCTACTATGTTTGAGTCTTCAGTTGTAAAATCGGCCCTAAGTGAACTACTTTTATAGTTATTTTGTCTTTCACTCAAAACTTTAAATAAAGTAGGTAAGAACTATATTCTCCCAACTTTCTTACTTACTTCCTCTTCTACTACTTGCTTGTCCGGATTACAATAAGTTGTAGAAATATGCACAAACACCTTCAGATTCTTCAATGTCTCTGCGATCTTAATTAATTCGTGAGTTCCGCGTGTGTTTAAAATTATAGCATCGCGTAAAGCATCATCAAATCTATTAATAATTAAATAAATATATATAACAAACTTTAATAGGTTTAATAATTTTCGATATACCTAACACTTGCTGCTGAATGAATTACTATGGAGACATTCCTTAATTTCTCCAAATTTTCTGGTTTTATACCCAAACCCAATTCAGCACAATTTCCCTCGATTGCAATTACTTTTTTTAAAACTTGTGGATTTTCTTGTCTTATACGATTATAAAGTGCAGATTTTAAAATATCACGTAAACGCTCTTCAGGATTCCGATTCTTTTTACTACGCATTAAGACATATATATTACCAACATTGGGACAGGAACGCAATAGTTTCTCGATCGTTGCTTTTCCAATGAAACCTTTTCGTATTAAATAATTATATAAAATTTAATAAATGAATAAAATTAATTAAGTAATATATTAACATTAAATCTCTTACCTGAACCACCGGTTATAAATACTTCTTGATTTTTATAAAATTTTCTAATCGACATAATTCCAGTATTTCTATTATTCTGTAAATAAATAATGTATGTTAAAATCCATGAATGTAAATTTTTATATGGGTTAAAATTTGGGTTAAATGTGTATATATATATGTATGTATAATTTACAAGAATCATCGGGTTCATTAAAAGGTCGAATAAATTAAAATAGAATTGATGTGACCAATTAGAATTTCTTATTCACAAACAGTAAAACTTTTACTGCATAAGATTCAATGGCTAGGTGTTGTTATTTATATTGTGGAGATATATATTATATATAATTACTCATAACGTAGATTTTTTAATATAGTGAATTTTAGTAAGTACGACCGCGATTTTTTTCATCGATAGCGATGAATAATTTATTGTAGTTCATTCAGTTGACTTCCCTTATGAAATGGATTATACCACAAGTAAATAATTTTTATATACCTATGTATATTAAATATCAAATATGTGTATATGATATATACTTCTCATCACATACACCGATACTAAATGTTTTTTTTTTAAATCGAAGCCAAAGTTATTGTGAGACTTCAACGTTCTAAAATCACCCAGGTCTCCGATGGTTTGCTCTCTCGACACTGAAACTATATACTAATACTTCAAATAATAATACTACCCCAATAATTAATGTCGCTTTCCAATAAATGGAACGAATACAGATCTGTTAATAGTTCAACATATCTGTGGTTTTTATTTTTTTCATAAACAGGATATATAAATCTACGAGATATATAAAATCTACGAAACAAAAACTATTTTCATATGAAAAAATATTTGTTGAAGTCCTCTTCTTCAAAAAATAGTTCAAGTACACAGAAGAATGCAAGTTAAAAATGCAATATAGTTGGATAATGAGTTAATAATACGTACAGCTGGTGCTAAACTCAGGATTATAAGTTTGGACTGTGCATAGTATTTGATATAGAGGACAGATTAACTGTTATTTAACAGTCAATAAGAGTTCAGTTATGAACACCAAACGTTGACATATAATTAGCAAAGGATATAGTTGATGGTCATAGAGGGTAGTGACCAAATACAATAAAACTTCTAGAGCTACTAGAGATAGAGTCATCTCACTTGAGAATTGTAGGTAGAGATCTTGATAGCTTTTAGAAGTGTTGTGTTAAATTTTATTAGAATAGAATTTAGAGATTCCGTTAATTAAGAACACTATTTCTCAAATACTATATATTATTAAGTTGGAATGTATATATATAATATGGATTTTCGAATCAAAATTATGGATAAAGACGTTCAATTTGAATAGGAAAATTTCACCTATAGACTTTACGATCGCAATTATATATTTAATTGCTTAAATATAAACTACACTGATAACCACATTTAAGTATATTAAGTAAATTTAATTTTTATACTGTTAAATAATAAATTATTTATTATAAAGTTTTAAAATTTTTAATATTGCAGACCTTTCGGAGTTTATGAAATCTAAACCGTACGTTCACTGTGCAACACTTCAACTGTTTTCTTGAATTTTAAAATACTCCAAACAATATAGTATTTTGCTTTAAAATTAATTATAATTTAAAATACTTAATTTGAATTCCTAATTCATTAATTATTTTCGAATAAATATTATACGTTGTACTTCATAGCACCATTGCTACACATTCAATCGATACATATAGACTGCCAATGTGAATATGGAAATTTTTCAGCTCTCTTTACCAACTCAAAGGTTTATATTTTTTTTATTTTGAGAATTATTTTTTTTCAAAAAATGCATAATCTAAAATTTTAATAGGACTGCTAAATGTTAATGAACTTAACAATTTATTTTTATAACTTTAGCTATTTGTCTTGACTTTAATTTTTACTATTAACAAGATACTAGAGTCAAGGATTTTAAATTCTTAAGAATAAAGATTTGGGATTAAAATTTATAGTTACAATAACCTAATAAATATGTTGTAACTACAGTACAGACAAAAAGTCAGATACGCAAATAATAGATTATTAGGAACTGTGAATTCAGATAAAAAGCTAGATCCATAACAAACCGTCAGAAAGCCATGTCAGTTATTTTGTAAAAAATCACAACCTCGAGTCAAAAGCAAAAGGATACTAGTAATAACTGAATTTAAAGATTATTAAAAATAATAAATTTCAATCAGAAGCAAGAATCACATTACTCCAATAGATAAGTTATAAAGAACATAACCTCAAATCAAAAACGAGAGGCGTAATAACGGAATTGAGAGATTATTATGAAGAATGACTGATCAAAAGCCTAAAATCGAGACAATTTGAAGGAGAAATTATGAAGAAGCATAACCTTATATCAAAGACCAAAGGCGTAGTAACTGAATTGAGGAAGTATTAAGAATTATTAATTTAGTACAAAAACTAGTTCCGTAACAACACAATATAGATATTGTAAGCCATGACTAAGTGAAACATCATTACTTCGAATCAAAAACCAGTGGTAAAACAACTAAAATGACAAATTTTGAAGAAATATTTAAGAAGTCATTTTCTTATAGGAGAACATGACTTCAACTTAAAGACTAGGTTCTCAATAACCCAAAATAAAAATTGCCTATAATATTTACCTCTAATCAAACACAGAGGTTTAATAACTGAATTAACAGATTATGAATATCTGTTAATTATTTTAAATCAAAGACTATAATCACAACAACTTACTAGAGAGATTATAAAACTATTATCTCAATTAAAAACCCAGATGCGTGATAACTGAGTTAGGAGATTATTTACAATAATGCCTTTACATTAAAAGCCAGATTTGCAATATTCCAACAGACAGTTTATAAAGAACCGTAAAGTCAGATCGAAAGCTAGAGGCGCGATAACTTAATAAAGAGATTATTAAGAACTGTGCTTCGAATCTGAACCCAGATTTACAACAATCTAATAGAGAGCTTGTAAAAAAGAACGACCTCAGATTAATAATCATAGCGGTAATAACTGGATTGAGAGGTCATTAAGAACAAGACACTTAGACAAAGGATCGCTAAAATCATTGCATAAACATTAGTTATTAATTTATATAATTTTTATTTCTGCTACTTAATTATTATACAAACAATTTTATTAATTTTTGGCATAAGCACTAGTAAACAATTCATATTATTTTTTTTTATTACATAATTATTTATATATAAACAATTTTAAACAATTATCACTTTCTTTAAAAACAAAATTAATTTTTAGGAAAATTTTTAAAGTTCATTTAATATCATTTAAAGAAATATTAAAAAAGCAAATATATGAGAAACCTAACTGCTATTAAAACAGTTAAAAATTGTAATAAATAATTGGTATACGTTAAGATTTTAAAACGTCTCCAAGTCCCTTTACTGGCTTCTTCAGGTTCGTTCATTAAAAATAGTTTCAAGCCGCGCATATAAGTAGCGATAATTTTACCTTCATTTCGATGTAAGTATTCCGTTAAGCCAAATTTGTCACTAAACATTAAAAAAATATTTTAATTAGCTAATAAGACATTGATTTATTCTAAAACATAGAATTACATTTCCGATTTTGGTATTATAGTCTCCAAAGCTATGGATTTGTCATTCTTAAAAATCCAGTCTCTATTTGTAAAATAACTAATTGCGTTATTTGCAACAAAAATGCGTCGTTGCAATTTAAAAAGGCTAGAAAATTTGGAAAATATATTAAATAATTATTACAAATATTTAATACCCACAATGGTTTCTGCCCAGATAAACGCAGACCAATATCTCCCAGATATGACAACAAAAGTTGTAGGAAAATATACTAAAAAAATCGTAATATATGAATTGCTTTCTCTATTAAGCATATTTTATGTATGCGTACATATGCGAATAACTTGAAAAATTTACTTACTCTTATTACAAATGTAAATGGACATAATGTCGGTTTTCCGCCAGGAGTCCATAATGTTTTCTTAAACGGATTTTTTTTACATTCTTTTTCAGCTATTATAACAAATTCTCTTAAATTTACGCGTATGTAGTCTTTTGAGCCCATGTTATAAACATCTAAATTGTTATCGTCTCTCGAACTGATCATTTTTATTTATGACATATATCATTATTAATATAATATTAATAGTTCCAAACTTATATAATTTACTTACAGATATCCTTTCTTAAAGCATGCTATTAACATAGCACGTACTACCATATCTACCGGTACTTGATCGTGTGTAATTGAATGTGTAATATAATTAGTACGCATGATACCCAAACAGCAGGCTAGCATAAGACCTACATATATAACCATTTAAATTATCTATCCAACCAGGCAATGGTTCTTTAAGAGCAGGCAAAACTGATATAAAAAATTAAAGAAATTCAAATCGCGTGAAAATATATTTATTTTAATAAAATACCTATTGATGGTCTAAAGATTACTACTGGTAATTTGTAACGGTACTCATTTATGATTTGCTCGGCTAAGTTTTTCGTAAATGTATAGGTATTTGCCGATGGGTTGATGTATCTGTTGTAATATATAAATACATAATGTGTGATAGCACAAAGTATAGTTTTATGTAATGTAGTAAAAACTAAATTTACTTTAAACTTAAGGTCTCCAACGTGTCTTCATCGTAAGTTTGAGCTAATTTTATTGTTGTTCGCCAATCCGCACAAGCCTGAAAAACCTATGAATATATAGGAAGAAGTTTGGATTAAATTAATTATGATAATAACTTAAAAGTAAGGTTAAAGCGGTTTTTTAACTACTAATGTCCCTTTAGTAGTTAAAAAATTATAATTAATAATAACCATTAAAAAATAATAATTACATCAATGTTTTCAAATGGAAAGAACTCTAGATTCCCGAATAGTAGGGGTGTGTCACGGACAACACAAAATAGATTTGGACAAACATGTTTATGTTTAGATTTAGACAGCTAATTATCAATAGGGTCTGTCCTAAAGTGTAACAACTTTAAAAAAGCTGACTCTAAGAATGCAGACTTTTTTATCCTAGAAAGAAATGTGTTCTGTTCTTTTCCGCTCTATAGTGACTTTATTCTCATAATTCATTATTCCACCTATACCATATTTACACAGAAAAGGAGACATTTTGAAAATTATATATAAATTTATAGATTTATCTTATGAAAAATGAACCCATAAATTTTAGTTAAAAATAATTTTCGAACCCATATAACTATTTCAGATATTTAAAATTGTTCATTATTAGCTACTTTTAATAGGTTAGGTTCGTTGGTTAGTTTTCAAACTATTTCGAACTTTAACTATTTCAAACTTTAATAAATTATAAGAAACTCTTCAAAGGGTGGTTTTGGAACTGACGAATAACTCCTCTGATAAATAAGTCCCTAGCAGGTTTAACCGACGTTATGCAGACATAGAATTGTGATAAAGCTGATGTGAAATACTTTGCTATTCTTAATAAGGCCTATATCTTATCACATATATGTATATCATAAAATTTTTATGGATCTAGTCTTATTGTTTATTACCTCTTCATCGCTCTCAGTATGATTAGAATTGCAAAATGTTGTCGATACATGCATGAGAACTTTAAGTTGTTTCAAATTCTCTGCAATTTTTATAATTTCATAGGTGCTTTGTGTATTTTGAAGTATAGCAGGATGTAGAGGCTCATCGAATCTGTTAAATAAAAGTAATTAAAAACATTTTGATACAAGAAATTTGTAAACATACCTTACAGTAGCTGCCGCATGTATTAATATTGAAACATTTTTCAATTTCTCCATATCATCATTACCAATACCCAGTTTTAACTTAGTGGTATCGCCATCGATCGCATATACTTTCGATATATTCTGCGGTTGCTCTTTCCAAGAGTTCTCAAATACAGGAGCTTCTAAAAGCGCTTTTAAACGTTCCTGAACACTTTTTCCCTTTTTGCTTCGTATAAGCACGTAAATGTTTCCAATATTTGGTGATAAACGTAATAATTTGTCCAGCAAGGCTTTACCAATGAAGCCTTAATTTTGTTAAAATAAAAATATATTAAAATCGTTCAAAAATATACGTATATGATTTATATAGATATAACATAACATATACAGTAAGTAGCGAAGTCTAGAATGCTGACATATACATAATCCGATCTGTATCGAGACCTCACAAAGGTATAATAACACGTTAGAAAAATATATAAAGCGAGCTTAATTTAAAGATTTGTCCAGTCATATTGTTGCTCTGGCTTGAAACTTTTTTAATAATAGCAACAATGATTTCAACAATCACAAATTTCAAAATTAGAGGGATTCGAACTGTAATGAAGAAACAATAACACAAATTTTAATTAATTTATTGTAATTTGATTGACCATACAACGATATTTCGAGTATTCCCAAGTACTACTCATCATCAGTGATTTTAGAAAATATTCAAATTTTTATTTTTAAATAGTTTATAGTTTAGTCCGTAGTTTATAGTCCCTTAAATATAAGCTCTGCCAAAGGTTCTAAGTGGTTCTAACCCCTAAGTTTTAAAATAT